GCTTTCCCGACTCGGCTCCGGGGCCTGCGCTCGCTCCGCCCGGCGACCTTCGGGCCTAGGTACGGGGGAGGGGCGCCCTTCCCTGCCCAGGGCACAGGGAGCGGTCTGGGGAGCGGTCGAACGCCCACCCCAGCACTTGCCCAGCCAGTCCCGGCCCTGGGCCCTTGCCCGAGTGGCGGCCAGCGCACAGGCGGTAAGGGGACGCCACCCGGAACCCCGGCCCGCCTCTTGCGCCGCCACCCTCCGGGGGCAGGGCTCGCCCCTGCTTCTCCCGCCCGGCCTGGCCTCCCGTGGTCGCCGGAAGGGAGCCGTGCACGGCGGCGCTGTGCAGACTTGCTGGGAAAGATTCCTGGGTTCAGACCTGTGAATCGCCCCGGGGTCACCCTCTAATTAATGACTACGTTCTCGGCCCTCTCCCCAGCTGCAAGCCTGCCTCCCAGAAACGAAATCTGCCCGCTCTGACAGCTCGGTTGAAGGTGATTGATGAGTATCTGGAGACCACAGTGCGCATCATATAATATCTGCTGCGTAATTGCTTTAATTTACAGATGAAAGTGCGAGTTCTCCGATCCTGTTGGACCGCAGCCGGCCACGTCCGAGCTGCTTGCAAGGAAAATCATCGGAAATAATGAATAGACGCTCCATGCAAATTATTAAGACAGCTTAGCGTCTGTAGCCGGGAGAGATATATAAAGAGCACGAGTCAAATGACATTAGTAATTGTTTTGGAGTTCTGTGTTGATTTCGTGGCGACCGTGTTTCTTTCTTTCTCACCTGAATTGCTAATATCACCTTCCTGTAAATAATAAGAAACTAGCCACCGGGGCTTCTGGGCAGAAATGAATCTCTCCGTCTCTCCCCCTCTTCCATCTCTGCTCCTCCCCTCCCCCATTCCCCCTCCTCCCATCTCCTTCCAGTTTTCTGGCTTCTGCTGAGGCATTTACGGAACACCCTCCTACTTCCCATTATTTGTTTACAAACAACTCACTCTCCCCCAGTAATGAGGCCGGGGGCAGGAAGGCGCAGGAGCCCAGGGTGGCTGAGGGCTCAGGGAGCAGCAATCTCCACAGGAGGACGGCATTCAGCATCCTTTCCTCACTCCATTCCCGTGGCCGTGGCCCCGGCCCCGGCGATTGTGAGCGCTCAGCGCCGGGGAGGAAGCCACCGCCCAGGTCCCAGCGGCCAGCGCCTCGGGGCTACCGCTCGCCACGCGTGCCTCGCCCAGGCCTGCATTCCCTTCCGTTTCCTTCCCCGGAGACTCGGGCCGCAGCTCGCGGGGAACAGCGCCCCTGAACGCGCCCCCATTCACCTGAGTAGACGTGCTCACCCTCGGAGCCGGGTGGGCACAGCCGGTCCGTGGGGACCTCTGGGGGAGAGGTTTCAGGGGCTGCCGTGACCATCGCTGTTACATTCTCCGGTTTTCCTTTCCAGCCTGAGTGCGTAAATAGACACTCCCAGTTCCCGCCCGCCCGGTTCTCGCGGGCCACCTTCTTTCCATGATCTTGAAATCCCGCTCACCGGCGGCACTTTCTCAGGCCCCTGCACCTTGATCCTCCGCTTACTGCCCCAGGCCCAGCCCAGGCTGCTGCGTGAGGGGCCGCCCCGCCCCCGTTTGGGGTAGCTTGGGGCTGCCGGAGGAATCGCGCGACCTTGCGGGCCGCTCACGCAGCCCCATGGAGGCCACGTTAGCCCGTCTGTCTCCAGCTGCGGGCACACCCCTGACACCCCGCTGACAACCTGTCTGCCGGAACCCGGGTACTTTCTGGGCCATCTTTGCCCCCTAGGTAATACAGGAAAAACGAGCCCGTGCTCTTTCCAAAAAGGCCCAGCCTTGAGCTGAGGAACCCCGGGTTTCCTTCCCAGAGCAGACAGACAGTAGTGCCAGAATCTCAGGCACCATCAGCTACACGTACCTGCATAGACGCGGCTTATACTGAGCCCACGTCCCTCGAGGGACCCCCGGTTCTAAATACACCCGTGGGCAGGACCTGCCAGAAACCACGAGGTTCCCCACGGGCAGGGCGGCGGCTAGGATTTGGTCAGGTGCCCCCACTGTCTGCTGAGCTCCAGGGCAGCCCAGGGCGAGGGGGTCTGAGGACGATTAGCCCCAAATGTTAGGGGTCCGCAGGTCCCCCCTTTTGCCCGGGGATGGTGTCGGCCGTCGGAACCACGGAGAGCCTCTGGGGACAGAGGTCGCTTCCAGACCTTCCTCCGCTCCCGGCGGGGCTTCACCCCTGACACCAGCTGAGCCCCCGCGGTTTGGCCGGTTCCCAGAGTCGGCCCCGGGGGCCACCGCGGTCCCCCGCACCGAGAGCCGTGGGGGGTGGGGAGAGGGGCTCTCTCCAGCCCAGAGAAGTTGACCCGAGCCAGAGGGCAGGGGCGGGAGCTCACAGCCCCGGGCAGGGGCCTTCTTATCTAAGGCGCAGGGCCGAGCCCTGGTGGCGTGCGGGCCGCCCACTGCCCGTGGACACCCGTGCGGGGTGTGGGGCTCAGGGCGTTCCAGGTGTCCGTGCGCCGCACTCGCGAACCCCGAGGGTGGCAGGTCGCTCCTTCGCTGCCTCTCCTCTGGGGTCCCCCGCGAAGCCAGGGCGCGAGCTGCAGGCGCGCAGGGTCAATCCTCCTCCCGAAACGCCCCGCATTCCGGCCCGCTCCCTCCGGCTTTCCCACCGCGGCCCCGCGGCTGGCTCGCAGGGCGCCGCCCGAGCCGGGAGGGCGGGCAGCCGGATGTCCCAGCGCAGGCGCCCGGCTCGGCGCGGCCTCCGCGCCCCGCGCCGCCCCCCGCCCCCCGTTTTCCGCCACTTGCGGCCGACGCGGCGGCCTCCAGAGACCCCACCAGCGGGCGGCAAACTTTGCGCCCCCAGCGCAGCAGCGATCCTAGCAAAGTTTGCGCGGCTGAGCCCACTCCCTACCTGCGCCGGGGACGCGCCCGCCCGCGCCGCTCGGGCGCCGGGGCCGCGGGGACCAGCGCGCGGCCCGGGACGCACCGGGGAGTCGCCGCCGTCGCCGCCGCCCGCGCCCCTCGGCGGCCGCGCGGAGCCTCCGCCTCCCCCGCAGAGGGGAGGGGTCTCGGAACCCCGGGGCGGGGGCGGGCGCGGGCGCGGGGACCTCGCCTACCTGCGGTGGCGCCGGGCTGCTGACCGCCGCCCACGAGGGCTCTGCGCGGCCGCTCGGCGCGCGCGCTCCGGCGGGGAGCGGGCGACAACTAATGGAGACATCTCCAGGCGGAGCACCTGGCGAGCGAGCGGAGCGCGCCGGCGTCCCCAGGCGCCGCGGTCGTCAGCCGAGCCCGCACCGGCGTGACGTGGGCGAGC